CAAGCAAAGTTTCAGGCAAAATGCAATCCTGAAGAGTGTCCTTGAGGACTTGATCGCCAAACTTACCGCTGGTGCCAAAATTTGTGTTACATCCTCACCGTCATAAATCAAGTCCTAAGGTGATTAGCTAGCGAAATCTGATTTTGAAGTTTGTCACCTCTGCAGTTTCAAATTATGGCACGAATCGTTGTACAGCTGAAAGTCACACACACTGAGGCTCAGGAGAGGAGTAACGTTGAGTGATGCCACAATGTTTTTAAACTGAATATTCTACAAATTATGAATAAATAATTGAATGATTTGAATATTCCATGGTGCAGAAAGTGCAGGAATACCAGGAATTTTGAAACTTCGAAAGTTTCTAAGTAACTTGTGCAAAAGACCGTCTGTTACTGGGATATGGATGATTTTAGGTTTGGGTCGCGGAAGAGTCCTCTTTAGTCACCTCTTATTAGCAGAAATTGGGCCTCCTCTTTTTAGGAGTTCGACATATCAGTAATTGTATAATGCACTGTTGTATTAAGTGTGCACTTAATACTTGATTTCAACAGGTATGATGAATAAATTTGCATGCATCTAATAAGCGATATTAACGTAATCAGCTTGCGACGTTTGTCTACGTTACAGAAAGAAAAAGGAAAAGTGAAGTTCGTAACCGTTGGAATGTCGGTCGTAATAGAGAGCTGCTGTGGAGTCCTCGTTCACATGAAGTTTCCGTTTCTCTGCCATCAACAAGAAAAGAAAGAGTCCGCAACTATGTGGCAAGTATAGCGTACTGTCTCCTGTCTCTTTCCCAGCCAGTGAATCAGAAGGATGAGAGACCAGTGAATCGATCGGGGGTTCGAACTTGGAACCTCTCGACTCAGAGTATGACCCTCTACCGACTGAACAACTCTGATATAACGTACTAACATCGTCAGCGTACAATTCAATTAAAATTCAGAGTTATTTGCTCCGGAGTGTCTCCGAAAGAAAATCACAAGCATTCATCTCGTCTACTGATACTGCAATTAAGTAATACAGAAAGCAGTGGTTTTACAATGTGTTAAAGTGCAAGCAGCGGTAAACTACTTGGTGCTGTTCTTCGTCCCTTTGCTGCAGTGTCGTGAGGTCATCGTCCGGCACTCTGACCCTGTCTTGAGGGGGTTCATTGATGAGCAATGGGCAACCATTTCGCATGTAAACAGGCACCGGTATGCACACTTTGACATCAGAATTTCCCTTGTTACCTTCAAGCACGGTGAACCGATAGAAAAAAAGAAAAACGAATGAATCGATGGGGACTCGAACTCAGCCGCTCTCAAGTTTTAAGTCCAATCCTCTATCGACTGAGAAACTTTGGTTCATAATACTGATTACCGCAAGTCATAGGAACAAATTATCTTGGACACGTTGCCACGCGTAATCGAACTCCTCTCCTGAGTTCATTTTCTTTACCTCATTTGTGGCTAGACTTTGGCTGGCTAGCTTTCATATGTTTTGCTCTGCAATGTTTATTGGGTTATGATTGAATGAGATGAATGCCAGTGATGCCCAAATGAATAAAACTTGATTGATTGAGTCTGAAACTCCAATGAAATGGTTTGCATCCTTCTTGTGACCCACGTAGTCTCATAAGTAATGGAAATCCTGCCATTAGGCCGTTTCAACGTTCATGAAAATCCTTTGCGAACTGCAGAGTGAATGGAAAGATATCTCGTCTTACTTTGCCCGGCCATACGACGTGGGCGGAGCGGATTTATATCTTGAGTTAATTTGTCACACTGAACAGTAACCAATCAAGTGGGTCAAAGCGAAGGTGCTCGTATCGGATATCATGGCCGTACATCTGGTTTCTTCTGGCATGACCACACCAGAATACCACGCTGTCCAGTCTGTTTACAGGTCAGCGACCTGCCACCCGTTTTTTGGGCTGGTTTCATTGAAACGAGAAGAGGCAAATTCCTTGCTCAAGGGTATTTGCAGTTAATCAGAGGAAATTCTTGCCGCCCGTTGGGTTTCAACCTGAAACTCAAACGTACGGAGCAATTTACTGACTAGCTGCCCCACGCCCTCCCCCCTCCCCCGCCACTGCGTCTTATTCATTCGAAGATTATACGATATATTTAGACTTAAAAACACGATTCTTCTGAAATAAACGAGATGCATGAATTAGAATCGACATAACCATATTTTCATGCTGAAGGATTTCAACATAAATTCTAACATTGTATGAATCTAGGAAATTATAACGGCTACTCATTGCACGTTATCAGTTCTGCTCTGGCACGACGGTAAGCACTGCGAATGTAATTAATATTTGAGTAA